AAAAAAAAAAAAAAAAAAAAAAAAAAAATTAAACAGATTCATTAATAGAAAAAAAGTTATTTAATTTTTTTTTGGTAGCGGCTTTCATCAGTAGATCCGCGTTGGCTATGGTATACATTAAATACTATTAAAAACAATTATTCAATATAGTAAAAACATTATTTACGAATAAAGGCAAAATATTATTGACGCAATAATCATATAACAATATTTTGGCGAACACGGATACCAGAACAAAACAGTCAACAATGATTTGCGATAGAGAGCGCAATACAATTCTCAGGATAGCCGGTTCTACGTACCGGAATTGACTCGGATTTCATCCGACCAAGTGCTGTTTTTTCGGCAATCTAACCCCGTTTCGAGCTCGAAATATTTAAAAATATACATCCCCCTTGTTACATGTTGCTCAACAAGATATGATCCGAATAGAGGCGCGCTACTTCGCGGTGAAAACCGTTTGGTACTAGACGACTTTAACGCGTACCACGACCTTTGCCATTCCTGCGTGTCAAATGATCGTAGGGGGATGAAGCTGGTGGAACAGATTGACGATTCGACATTCTGCACAATAAATGACGAAAACCCCACCAGAGTTATGGGCACCTGTACTAGTTAGCCCGATATTATCACTGCTAGTGGTGGTCTGATAAATAGCATAACCTGGCGACCTATGCTAACTCTCGAGAAACCTTCCGATTTCATTTCTGTGGGCCTTCGTTACCTTCAACATAGCTAACTGGGTCACCACAGTATGCGTTGGCGAACGTCAATTCCGCAAGGTGATCGTAGCAGCTACCGCTCTCTTCATCCCAGCTGGACGAAAGCGTAAATCCGCCCCAACCGAAGCCACCATAAGCGGACGAAATGGATAGATCACCTGAAGGCCTGTAACCCACCACGGGTGTGAGTAAGCTTTGGGTTACTGTTAAAGCTTTGTCTAACCCGAAGAGACATGACGTTCGAGTTGAAGTTCAATTCAATGATGCGCGAGCTATTTTAGCCGGCAGTTTACACTGCACCCTTCGGTATACAAAGCCAAACGATGTGTTAACCGACGGTTGCGCAAAATGCCAAACGACTGCGCGCCACTTACTTTCGCCGATGAGGAGGTTCAGGGTGTCATTAACAAAGCAAAATCATCCAAATTTAGGATATTATAATAATCTTATAAAGAAATTAAAGTAATACTCGGGTGTTCTGATCAAATGATATCAAATACCTTATCCTACAAAAATAAACCCGAAACTCGTGGACGAAAACGTAAAACTACCAAAAAAAATCGATCGACGCATACTCCAGTCGTTGAAACAAGATCCCAAAGCGACGTCTAGAGAAATAAAGAAGCGTCTAAATCTTGATGTTAGTGATGTAACAGTTCGTAGACGTCTATTGGAATGTAATTTATTGTTGACAAAGAAGCATATTGAAGCACGGCTCCAATTTGCCAAAGAACATGTCAACTGGCAACCGGAGAATTGGAGAAATATTTTGTGGACAGACGAATGTAAGGTAGTTTTATTTGGTGGCACAGGGTCTAGACAGTATATCCGTCGTCCACCAAATACGGAATATAGTCCGCAATACACCCTAAGACTGTCAAATATGGTGGTGCAAAAGTAATGGTTTGAGGAATTTTCTCGTACAACGGCGTGGGCGTATAATGAAAAAAGTTATGCTGCGGAAATTGAATATGCCTTCAAAGCGGTTGTTCCAGCAAGATAACGACCCGAAACGTACAAGTAAGTCCGCAAAAGAATGGTTTCGGGTCAATAAAGTTGAGGTTATGTCGTGGCCTGCTCAGTCGCCTGACCTTAATCCGATAGAAAATTTATGGACAGATGTTAAAAAAGGTGTAGCTGAGAGTAGACCATCAAATACAAGGGAATTATGGAGCACAGTCCAGGAGGCGTGGCAGCAAATCCCGCTGAAAAGATGTCGTGATCTGATCGATTCCATGCCCCGCAGATGTGCTGCAGTAATTAAAAATGGCGGTTACTCGACTAAATATTAACTAAACTATCTTATTTACTAGTCATAATTTCCAATTTTTTAATTTATTATTAGTTTTATTGAATTTTGTGATGCACTCCTATTATTTTGAACACCGAATTATTGAAGTTTTTATGTAAATAATATTTTTTTTTTCGTTTACAAAGTATTACTAAAAATTTAAAGTGCATAATAAGACTGCATAAAATGAACAAATCGTCGATAAAAAATAAATGAATAAAATTCATGTTTTTGTTAAAAAAACATAACTTCGTATTTTATATTGTGCGGCTCTCCTATTATTTTGAACGCAACTGTATGTATGTATAAGCCATAGAAATTCTATTGCTACAAATATGGGAATGATAACGAAAGAATGCGAATATGCATATTTCATGAAGGTCATCAATTTTCTTTGAAGAAATGAAGTTCATTTAGCACACCTCCACTTTATAAGAGTGGAAATAAAAATAATTAGTTTGAAATATTAATTTAATTAAAAATTAAAAAAATAAAATTAAAGAGAAATAAAATTAAAATTATGTTTACCTAATTTTTTTCGATTTTGTAAAAAAAATTAAAATTTTTATAATTTTTCGGAAAAAATCGTTCGTAATATAAAATAATCGCGCATATGTGATAATGGTTCATATATGTGAGTCAGGGAATGCTTCTTTACATTCTTTATGTGACTTTGTATATTTTTCTTCAAAGTATTTCTCTTTATTCATGTTCGCGTGAATTCAGTCGTTTGAGCCAGAGAACGTACTCAATTCTGCTAAATAGCAGCGAGAATGGTGAAATTCCATATCACAATCTTATAAGTTCTGTTAGCCGTCTAATCGAACATAATACAGAATTCAATTTGCATCTTCTCTGCGTTTTACATTCTCTGGTTGAGTTATGAAAATTCTTCGATCACCGTACTACATAGCTATTACCGCCGAGCTTAACTTTTTTTTGGTGTATCTGTCGACACCAGTGTTGCAAATTTGTTTTTGGTGACACTTGTAACAGCCGCACATTCTACCATTGTTTTTAGGCATAATGTATGCCAGAAATTTGAAATTTTTGCCCGCACATCAGCAGAGTATCAGTAAATATGTAACATAATTACTGTGCTGCTGTAATTATTATGTAGCATTACGAACCCATTCCTTTTTTTAGGCACCGAAGCTTTGCGGATTTTTTTTTTCAAAAAATTAATGGCGTTTTATACCATGAGCTGCATTTTTGTGTAGATCAAAAATCATTCTACTTTTTTTCCAGAGTATAACGCAAATTTCTATCAATTTTTTTTAATATTTTAATTCAATTAATAATGAATATTGTTTCACTAATAACCACATCTGTGATTTCTTTGAATAATTTCTTTGGAACGCGATTGCAAGGAGTAAAATAAAAAAAAATAAAAAAATAAAAACGTTATAACCGCATTACCTTACTTTTACAAGTTGTTGAAGTTACGACAAACATAATGTAGGAAAATATTGCGATCCCTTATGTGATGAAACTAAAGTCTGTTTTGAATAATTTATTTCACTTTTAACAAATAAATAACAAATCAAATGAATAAAGTATATACATATACATAATCAACATAGAAATATGTATACAATATTCGCCAGTTATGATTAAATTATTCAGAATTATATATTATTGTAATACCAATATATGGTCCAAAACATTGTATATAAAACATAGAAGAGTTATATAATTTACTTATATGTATTCAGTAAGTTGTCATTACGAAACACAACGAGCCCTAATAACAGTATTTTACGTACAAGACGTTGAATTGCAGCACATCATTAGTAGACATTTACGAATTATTGATTATTCCAGATGATACTACTCTGTGTATAAATAGCAATGCATCCTTAGCATTCTCAGCGTTACCGTCAGGAAGGGATCCAGTTAGAGAGGGCGTTTTGGTCTTTAGATATACATATTAATGATTTCTTTTAGACGGCACACAAACGGAAAATATTGAGTGTAATCTTCAAACAAATACACAAAGCAAATTCAAAAGTAGTTAATTTAGGCATTGAGCAGCTATTCTTACCTGTCTAGCTTAAACTCTGCGCCATCAGACGCATTCAAAATCACTATTTACCGCAGGACATCCTAGAGGAGACAAGACTCTGAAGGTAATTGGTTTTCCCAACTTTAGAATATGAATAATAATTATTTACCTTGGATTCTCTATTGGGAAAAATATTACGGAAAGTGACACAATTGATCCCACACTGTTCAAGAACTTACTTTCTTTACAAACGCCATTTGAATCTATCGAAAAAGCGCTTACATCACAAATGTTTCCCAATGAATGTCGACTATAGTTGATGATGATGGTATATACACATGTGTATTTCTTTCTTAGTCATTCAAAAATTATACTTGTATATGATGAATGTTGCTACTCTTAGTTTTGAATAAGTAGTGGGGCTAGAGATGAAACTTTACAAGTGTCGTAGTGATTTGTTTACTTCTGTCCGGTTAATATTCAGAAATACATATACATACTTATTTTTTTATCAATTGTTTTTACCGTTAACTTAATTGAGATATAAATTACTCTTCTTTTTAACTTATATTAAATGGGGTTCAGTGTGCTAAATTCTACATAAATATAATCAGTAATTTAAAAGTTTACCCTGGTTAAAACGTGACACATTATTTATACACCAAGCGAAATATTTATAAAGTCACTTTCGTTTAGCTCAATAATAAAAACAAACTTATTGATGTTATTTATTATTTTTTCGAATACATATTTAATTCAAATAACGATATAGTTATAGTTTTAGGAAAAAAATTAATTATACAAGTTTTTCCAAACATAATTACAAAGCCACTTTGTTTATACCTTCTGTTTTTAATAATTAAAAGAAAAATTCGGTATTTAATAAGATGATTGATCTCCCTTTTTAGTGTTGACCTCTTCCAGATGTCTGGATAGAATTAATTAAGGAATGGATAAAGGTTTCATCAATTGTTGTCCATTTTCCAACAATGGCGTGTCTAAGGCTTTTTATGTTATCAAATTGCCGTCCCTGTTCGAAATCCTTGGTTCATTACATGGACCAGGGGGCCTATTCTGTAGCTCGATTCGAAAAAAAAATTTACTCGAATTCGGATTTTTTATATTCTGTAACCCGATTTTCGGATTTTCTAGCCAATTTTCGAATAAAATATTCGTTAGCTTTTGAGTTGTAGAAGCAAAAACGTGTTTATTCTGGTGTTACAAATTTCGCATAATTATAAAGTAGATCAGAATTCCGAATAGAATATATTTACGAATCGCGATACACAATAGGGTCTCAGATGTTTTCCATAGGTCGGCATTAATTCATTGGCCTGCAACATTTTGTATTTCTAGACAAAAAAAGAATAAGTTAGTTTTCGATAAATTTTTCTCCGAAATCAATTAATACTTCATTCAGCAATTTACTGTAGTGCTTCAAGCTCATGAGTGATCTGCCACCAAAATGTCGTCGCTTACATTTCCGCTTTGGTGCCTTCAATATATTGGCAAATCCTTTGGGCCATTTAATTTGAATTTTTTCATTTGTAAAAACAATGGTTTCCACTTGTCATATATTTCGGATAAATAAACAAACAAAACAAAATGAAAAAGATTAACGAATTAATTTTTAAAAAGCCACATACTTCTTGGATATAGAATCCCTCTTTTAGTTCATTTGTTTCTCACAAACATTTTCTTCTATAATATTGCGCTTAATGCTACGCGTTTGCATTTCGTTTACTTTTGGAGGCCTACCCCTTCTCTTATTGTTTTCATAAATAATCCTTAATTGTAAAAAAAATCGTATTACATCCTTCAACCTATTTAATATAATCGTCTTGAAATTTCTCGGATAAATAAACCCTCTTCGTGATACATATACAATAATTTTTCCTTTCTCTTCTTCTGTCAAAACTTTTCTGCTAGGCATTCTTTACAATTTGGAAAATAAGTTAAAAGTATATGGAATTAACTAGCTAATAAAATTGCTTATCCAATAATAAATAATAACTCATATCTGTTAAACTAACAAAGGTAGCCGATAAGTAGCATATAGCTTTATAACTCTTTATTTAGATCACCTCTTTGGGTTCTGCAAGAGTGTCCTCCGGTTTTGAAACCTTCTGTTAGTCGCCGCATTTTTTTGTAGAATTTTCGAGCATTAATCCTGGTGGCCAGGTCAAGCTCTTCATACTCATGCATTTCGGCTTCTCTCTTTTTCTCTGTCTATCTTAGGCAGTCTTTTGTCTCAGCTGCGACACGGCACTCCTCTTCATACCAGCTGTTCTTTTGCATTTTCCGAAAACCAATGGTTTCGGTTGCTGCTGCACGTAAGGAGCTTGAAATGCTGTCCCACAGTTCCCTTATACCGGGTTTGTTGACGAGTGCTCTCAGAGAACTGGAGTGCAAGCCGACTAGAAAATCGTTCGGTTATCTGTTGTGATTGCAGTTTCTCGACGTCGAACATTCCTTGTGTTTGCGTTTTTTGCTGCGCAGAGGCGGGTTGGAATCTTGGCTGCAACAAGGTAGTGGTCCGAGTCGATGTTAAGACCTCGGAACGTACCCACGTCTAGTACACTGTTTTCCGCCTATCACAATATGATCGATCTGGTTTTTCGATCCGGAGACAGCCAGGTAACTTGATGTATTTTTTTGTGTTGGAGTCGAGTACTACAGATAACCATATTTCGGGCCCCGGGGAAGTCGATCAGCCTCAACCCCTTTTAGGATGTTTCCTCATTGGGGCGTGAGCGAAAATCAGCGATATGTTGAGGAAGTTCATCCGCCGGAGAGAATGATAGTACTCGGCGACGGAGTCTCTCTCCCATCACGAATCCCGCAACAAATTGCACTTCTTTATATGCCCACTGTAGTAAATGCCACAAGGGCCATGTCTCTGGTGCATGCCCTCAAATCGTAATCCTTAATTCGTTTGCCATGGTCGTTTCGAAAAGGGGGGTCTCCCATCCGACGCTGGTTGATATTTTCCCTTGGGGGCGTTTTTTATCTGGTGAGTCCCAAAACAATATTTGTAATTAATGTGCAAATGATCTACTTTTAAATATTCCTAATGCTTTTTAATACATATAATATAATTTCATATAATATATGTATATGTATATAAGATACTATTATGTTACTTAATATATTACAACAATATCATATGTAAATCGCATTTCATCAATTCAATTTTCATACGCATCTATCAGCACATAAGTACATATGCAAGTACAATTACAATTATAAAATATTTTCAAGCTCATACATAAACATACATATTAATGTTGGTTTGTAGGCGAAGCTGTCACCGCGGCAAGGAAAGCGGTGACAGTCGGCATTCTTTCGTTTGTGTTTTTGGGCACAGCTCGGATTTTCTACCAACAACACATTGACTTTTTGACAACGCGTGAGCATCGGCCATTGGTTATCCGCGACAACGGAGATTTCGCATGAAACAAAAAGTGTACATATTTACATACAAAGCAATACATGCAATGGATGGAATCATCTTAAGACCTGCTCAGGCCTTAAGACACACAGGGCGTGCACCACAAGTTGCGTGGGCCCATATTGCCAACGAACTACTGCGACCTTAGCCTCTTTGGCTGTGCAACCTAGTCCGCGCACTGCGACCTCCACGGTCCATAGGACCTCTAACAGGCAACATGACTCCCATTCTGATCTGTCCCGCCAACTTTCATCCCTCTCCAATCCTCGTGCGAGAACCACTCAGCAACTGCTGGTTTCTCGCACAGTCTGTTCCGTGTGTTACACCGTGATACGTCAGAACGTTGCATCAGTCAAGTGCAACTGGCTGGTGTCACTTTTCGGCGTATTCCGGCCTGCGCTCCACACGTGAGTAGAGTGTGGCCCATGTTGGCTCATGCTGCAGTAGTCTGCTCTCGTAACACTCCAAAATGTCGTCGCCAACCAACAACACAGAGCGACAACCGTCCGTGCGGGTTCTAAAGCTGCTACAAACACCACCAACACGCCACTCCCTCCCTCCCATGACACCCGCATCTTGCAATAGTTGCGCTCATGAACCGGAAAATCGTATCGATATCTGCAGTCCAAGAGACCAAACTAAACACCCGCTCTTCCGAGTTGTGCCGGTTTCAACGTAATACGTAAAGATCGCAAGCGAGATGATGGTGGTGGCCTAGCCTTCATATTGCACAAAACCGTGCAATATCGTCTAATCGATGAAGATATCGATCGCAGGGATACTACCCTAGTCAGGCTATAGCTATCCAGTTAGGTGATGTCGAGCTCGAAATATTTAATATATAAATCCCCCCTGTTACATGTTTCCCTAAAGGATATCACCCGAATATAGGCGCGCTACTTCGTGGTGAAAACCGTCTCGTACTAGGCGACTTTAACGCACACCACGATCTTTGGCATTCCTGCCTGTCAAATGATCGTAGGGGGAAGGAGTGGTGGTCTGATAAAAAGCATAATCTGGCTGGCAGACCACCTGGCCATAATTACCTCGATCGAGAAACCTCCCGATTTAGTTTCTGTGGAAAACCGCACCTTCGTTAACTTTAGCAAAGCTGACTAGGTCGGCTACATATAATTTACTGAAAAAGAGTTCACCGCTCTACCCATTCCTACGGACGTAACCGTTGGCGGACTATTGATTCCGTGAGGTGATCGCAGTAGCTACCGCTTACTTCATGTCGCTTCAAACCGTAAGAATTATTTAACTCCCCCCTAATATCCCAGTCGATCAAGCTGTTTTAGCTAACGAGCGCGGCACCTTACGCCATGCCGATCCCGCTGATCCCCGAATAAAAGATCTCAGTTTGAAGATTCGGCGATTGGTAAATTAACACAAGCGGAAGAAATTAATAGAGCACTTGAAATCCGGTAACCCCCCCACCGGTGTGAGTAAGCTTTGGGTTTCTCTCAAGGCTTTGCCTAATTCTAAAAATTCATTTCAATGGCCCGAAGAAATACGCGAGCTATTTTAGCCGGCAATTTACACTGCACCCTTTGGTAGATAAAACCAAATAATGTGTTACCCGACGGCTGCGCAAAATGCCAAAAGACTACACACCACTTACTTTCACTCATGAGGAGGGTCCTCAACCTGTTGCTGACCACACTCTTCAAATACCCGATCTGTTCAAAGTCTGAAGGGTCATCCGATAACTCTTCTCTCCCCAGTAGTGGAGACACTGAAGCCTTATTACTTCCCACCTTCACTCACTTGAGCCTAGCAAACCACCAGCATGACTTGCAAAAAGTGCACAGTACCACTTAGCGTCATAAACGTCCAGATAGTTTGTGGCCTTAACCAGAAACAACCTTGTGAGAGAACGATTATCGTAACGTTGAACTTGTCAAAAGCCTTTGACACAGTAAGTCACACAACGCTACTGCAGGACTTTGAAAAACTATGTTCCTTCCATCCCTACTGCTTCGAGGAAAAAATTCAAAACGGAGAAAAATCAAGATTCCAACTGTCAATAATTTAAGTGTAACTTTTGATAGTCTATGCTCCTTTACTGCTCATAAGACCGAGACCGGTCCGTAACTACGCCGTTCCAACATGATCGCCTGGATGCAGTGTAACGCAGATGAAGAAGCTTCAGTCTTGTTAGAACACTGTATTTCGGACTACGACAGTATGCCTCTTGATGTTTTCTATTGAACACCTTCTAGTGGAGCATACGGGCTCTCAGTTAAGAAGCATAATGAACTTCTCTACAGGCAGTTCCTACTGGAATGTTTTCGCAGAAATCCCCCCTGCAGTTACCTGCTTGGAGCGGAACCGCCTCACCCGATAAGACTTGCGACGCAACAAACTTTCGACAAGCACTGACTGCCATTCACGGTACAGCCATCAACTACTTCACCGACTCCCTTCCTGACCCTCGCGGAGCTTCCTTCTGCATACGGTAGCAGGTTAAACTAATATTTATCCAGAAAAGACGTGCAATTAGTAACTTCATGACACTGGCGACGTCCTTGCATGCCCCGCCAACCTCACTCATTTAACACCCTTCTCCCTGTGGTCAACCCCCTCGAAACAGCACGTTTCTTGGGCCTTCTGTTAGATGACGTTGACGACAACTTGGCTAATCCTTACCATCCTAGTGAGCATTAGGTATTCGCTGGGACAACAACAACAATATCACTGTCTAGTCAATTCTAACAATTTATTACCGGAAGCCACCTATCGGCTTAATACCGGTTAACTAACCAACAGCGCTACCAGAGATTTCTGTTAAGTTGACAGTTCTAACCGAAACTCTGTTGTACAGAAAAAACGATCATACCTTATCTATTACACGGTGCCTATGTTTTAGATCCAGCGGTTTTAGGTGTTGGAATTTTTGTAGTGACGGGAGTTATAAAAAAAATTTCTTTTGAATCTAAGTTACCTCCAATAGTTTACTAAGGATTTCATTTTATTATTAATTAATAAGGTTGAGGAGAATAAAAGTTAATTAATTTCTTACATATAGAGTTTTATAAGAATTTATATAATGAGAAACCTCTGGTTTGTATTATATTAGTTGCACAGTTGACGTTGCTATAATCTCTTTTCGGTGAGTTTGAATTCGGTTCCGTGAAAACGAGTTCTTTTTAGTACCCATATGCGTATTGTGGAATGTATTTATTGTAATATGGTCCATTTTTGCACATACAATTTTTTGTGTAAGCTGTTGTTGAATAAATAATATTTTAATGAGTTTATTGGAGTGAAAATATATATTCTTCAATAGTGTTTTGCAGATGTAAAATTGTGAATAATGAAGAGCTGTGTGAAGTATATGATATAATTTGCAAGTGGATTGCAGAAATAGGAATTATGTTATATATATTCACGAAGTGATAAAAAACGGATTCATAATCAATCAACTTGTGAAAACATAAAATTCCTGACAAAAATATATTCTATAAAGAATTTAGTTCTTTTGAAATGCTGTAAAATGGTATAGCTTTGTATAAATAAAGGTAAGGTTTGGTTTCTAATATTGTCATTCTCTATATATAATGTATGCGAATGTTAGTCAATAAATCCATTTTAGAACATTTGAAGGAAAATACATTTGTAACGTTATGCACGCGTGGTAAAACTTAATCTAACATTTTGAAACGGTTTTGATTCTTATTGCAAACGAATCGTATACCCTTTAGAAAGAGTGAAGTGTGCGAGACTGTCTAAGTACATAATAGTACCAAGTATGGGGGGTTAATTTGGTATGTAGCCAAACATTTTAAACACTGGCAACTTATAAGGATCAAACCGGTGAAATATCGTCAGGTGTTCGTAAAGCTGTATATTAAATAAGTAAGAAAGAGCTAAGTTAGGCTGTAAGAGAATATTTAGGGCAGAGAAAGAGGTGGGCTGATTGCATTATTTTGAGACATAGCTTAGATATACTTGTTAATATATTTTATATGTAGAAATTTTATAAATATATAACTCACATCTGATTGATAAATTCTTTATATTTACAATATGTCAGTTGTGTAATTCGTAGACAAATTTCATATATTTTCAGCATTAAAATGTAGCATATCCAGTAAAACACGTCTAATTATTTACGCTGAAATATCTTGAATATTGGTATAAGTCCGGTAGCTTTAAGGTCTTATTTTAGGTATATGGAAAATAGGAATATTATTGATACATAAATACTCTCTCAATTTAATTAAAATAGCTCACAAATTGGCCAAAATTTGTGTTATGTATGTATATGTAGCGAAGTATCGACGCGATTCAATCCATTTATGGCGTAAAGTATTTAAAAATGCATTTCCCAGATTGGCGGATATTTATAAAAAACAGGAAAAAGCCGCCGGGGCTTACATATTGGAAATTTGAAGTCATTCTTTAAAGAAATTGTTTGTGGAAAGTGATGTAAATTTAAAAGCAGCAAACCCCGAAATTACTGTTAAATTGGATATGAACGGATAGAGAAGATTGTTCAGATTAAGAAAATATAAAGTTAAAAAGTACAATTATATATCGGTCGATCAAATACCGTGGTGAACGTAAGATTTTTCCCGTACATCTCTTTTTTTTGTTTTTTTTTTATCAATTGGTTGGAATTCGGGAATGCTCTTTTACATGCATTCCGATATATTGAAAGAGAAAGAATCAGACGGAAATTAAAATTGTGTTGTATGAGCGTGCTTTTCATCCGATTTCGTATATTTTAAGGGCCAGCTTTAGTATACCATCCCACGATTTCAAAGGTAAAAGTGATATATTTGGTTAGACGACTTTTAGTTTTATAAATACAAATATCTAGAAAACTAAGTTTGCGGCGGCTATAATTGTAAATATTCTTAATCTGGCGCATTTCATCTATCCAAACATACCACTTTAAACCCTGAAGTCGTGGGATGGTATACTGAAGTTTTCCCCACGCTTACTATTTCAAAAATTTTGAGTGAGATGGGACTATAACAAAGCCTACTCACCAAATATAAAAAATTAAAATTAAATTCCATACGATATTTTAATTTTACAGTATAAAAGTGTTGCCAACGCCTGAAGTATTTTAACGGCTCTAAATCATCAAATTGCAAGAGAATAAAATGTTTGGTTAAAACTCAATTAAACTTTACTTCCTTGTTTGTAAATAAAAAATTTATTAATTTTTAAATCTGAGTTTGGGTAAAAATAAAAAATACTTGAAATTGGAAATTTTATTTGAAAGAAATTGGAAAATTGATTGTGATTCATGAGTATTATTATTCTTTCGGATGAATTTTATGGTCAGGTGACGCTCTGATGAGTTTACTAGCACTAACCGATTTAAATAGGTTAAATAAAGTGTTACAAAGAATTGCCTGTCGTAGCAATTAATGCAAAGATATACTTATTTGCTAATGTCACTTAAAAATAAATATCCTTTTTATCTTTATTACACCACTTTTAGTTCACCTAAATTGTGTTTTCAACGTAATGAATTTTAACATGGCCAAAATGGAAATTGATGATGTGGTGGATTTGAGTCTTAGCTCCAGTCGGGATCCATCACTTACTATAACCTCATCTACGATTCGAGACGCTCGTTCTTTAACACAAAATTCGACGACGTCACTCTCCAGCACTAATTTAGCAAACAATAATGGTAATAAAAAGCATACAGTAAAAACAATTATTAACTTTATTCGTTTTAGTAGAATTAACATTGCCCGAAGAAAATAAAGTTCAACGCCGTGTTCTTAGACCACGGACCGAACCTAAGTCCTATGCAGAGGCGCCAGATATTGTGTTATTACCTGCACGTTTGAATGGTCGCCAACATAATGGAAATATCGATTCCGAAACAGATGATGAAGATTCTGCATTATACGTTCCAATCAAAGAGTTGTCTCCAGCTGAAATCGAAGAACGCGAAAAGGGATTGCGAAAACTTCGAGAAGACTTACGAAATGAAGAAACAAAACTAGTGTTGCTTAAAAAGCTAAAACAATCCCAACTTGTTATGAAGGAAAATTTGGCACTTACTCCCGCAGTATCTTCCAGTAATCCCCTAGCTATAATACCAAGTGCACTAACGTCCAAAGGCTCGTTGAGTGTAACTCCTACAAGTGTGGTGTCCGTTTCAACACACTCTAAATGCAGATCTAGTACAGTAAATATAAAGTAAGTATATATTGCTTTCTGTACTAAAATGTTTAATATCCTGTGTCAATTAAATTAAAGCACTACAAATAGCCGCAATACACCGTCTTCACCATCTACAATGTCAACATCATCGTCATCGTTTAACCGCGTGAATTCCTCTATTCTTCCGCATCCTCGTTCTTCTCTTCCAGGTGGAACAACGTTAACAACAGGAAATTCACCTTCATTGCACAGGGTTCATTCCCGTTCGAATCTTCCAAACCTTACTATTACTCCTTCAGTTACAATCACCCCAACTACAGCCCCACCATCCGGAATTAAACCACGCAATGTGAGTAATTGTAATGTAATCGTTGCAGTAAGGGAGGGTTAAAAACTAATTAAGAAACATACTTAGTTTCTGCCTTTAAGTTCTAATGTCAAATATTTAAATTACGATATACAAAAAGGGAGGAAATATTATTAATTAGCTGGCGGCGCCGATGACGTACAAAAATATTGAAATCACTTCAAAACTTTAAGACAAAGAAAACATTTAAGAAAATTTAAATGCTGTTAAATGTGTTAATTCTAATTATACTAATATATAGATATTATCTCAATAATAATACTTTGTTGACAGATTAATATATCTGAGAGTTCGAAGTTGTCTGGAATGATTAATAACGCAGTTTCAATAACACCTTCTGCAACACACTTACAACAAAATCAACAGCAACAAGATTTAAAGGTATACCGAAAACTGTTATTTAAACTAAGCTCAAATACTCAATATTTTGGAACACAATTTTAGAATGACCGCAGTACTTCACGTGAGGAAGCATTGACCCCAGTACAGCGGCAAGCAGCTGCAAAATTAGCATTACGGAAGCAGCTAGAAAAAACACTTTTACAAGTAAGTCTTACATAACAAACCAATATGGAACGGTGGTGGTGAATGGTGATCATATTTCTTAAAACAAAGTGAAAAATACGTTACACATAAATCATATTCTTCTTTGTGCATTTTTGACATTACCTATATTTTCCTTTTGCGTTGAGTAGGCTTTAATTTATCGCTCTTAATGATATGTCTGACAGATTTCAACGCCTGCTTAAAAATTTGTACGGGTCCAAATACACACCGACGACGATTTATTCAAAAAACGTTAGATTTATTTAAAATTAATTTAATGAAGTAGGAATATGTTACTAATAGTAGATACTTCTATTATACAAGCTGGAAAAATAATGAATTTCTGAAAATGCTTGAAAGGTTTATTATTTCTGTGGAAAACAAATATCTGAAAAGAATAAAATTGGAAGTAAACAAGTAAGAAAGGCCTAAGTTCGGGTGTAAGCAAACATTTTATACTCTTGCAAGCATCAAAACTAGGGAAATAGCTTCAGGCGCATAAATTTTGATAGTCTTATGAGGTCTATTGTAAGTTTTCACCCGATTTTATCCATTTTAAGCAATAAGATGAACTGTTATTAAAAAAACACGCTCTCTCAATTTTATTAAGATAACTCATATATACCGATATAAACGGTATAAAGTCAACTGGAATGTCGAAAATCTTTCTATTAGGTATTTCGAGGATAAGAGAAGTGTTGACCTGATTCAACTCATTTTTATCATAGGCGTACTATTATCAGGAAAAGGATTCTCTTTGACCGATATTTTCGGTTCGCAATTGGTACTTTGACCACTTAATCGGTCTTAAGGTTGTGGACATCGAGGTACTATTCTCGTAAAGTATTTATTTTCCGAAGTATTTATTGATGCTTGATTTGCATACTCCATGATATAATCAGATGATATTCAAAAATGAGTTATATGGGAAGTAGACGTGGTTGTAGTTCGATTTCGCTCAGGTTATTGTTTGATTATTTATATATACATAACCGTATACCTAACCGTTAGGTGATCGAAACTACTATACTCTGTAGCAACAAGTTGCAAGAGTCCTGTCCGCAAAATACGTTTTCAGGAGGTTTTTAAACTAGTTTGCTGCGGTGCTTAAGTTTGCGTTGAAGTAGTAGTTGTTGTTGTTGTAACGGCAGAAATTCTGCCGAGTTGACAGTCCTTGACCGGATAAAATCCGGGTCCGTTCCGGTTTTCGTAGACCCGACTGTCGTGGGAACGGCGTTGAAGTAGTCCAATAATTCGGCATAATAGAGCCGTTATCCTAAATGAAAAGTTCTAAATGTCCAAGTGGATCAATGTGCATTGAGTAAAAGGTGTCCAGCAAATCTAGCCATTTTTACTAACATAACGTAAAGAGATATGGTAGGTTTTTTTTTTTTTTTTAGTTTTGTCCTTAAAAAGTATCATTTTCCAAAAATATAAATCTTTTGATCAATGCTATGAGCGAATGACAAACGCGCTTTAATATTTTTTTCGACATAGCGGTTTTTTCTTCTCACACATCCATACACATTATTTTTTCGTCTTCGTATTAGTCTACTTGACGCGTTTAAGTCCAATTCTGCATTGACTTCGACCATAACCGCGCGTGAGGATTTGAAAGGATCAGCTTTACACTTTGTAAGAATTATTTTATCCTCGCGGGGGGTTGTTTTGCGATGGGGAGCCTTACAAACTTTGTTTCGTTTTAACAAATTTGGATCACTCTTAATATTTTTGATGGCATTGTATACCATTTTTCTTAAACATTTTACTATTTGAGCAATTTTAACTTGATTTGTACCGTTTTAGTAAAGGTCCCAAATAATTTTTATTCTTCAATCGAACATTATTTCCCTCTAGCCATTTTATTAAAATTTGTAATATTACTAAAACTATTGAATACAAGTTTACAACTGAAATTAGTTCTTTGTTGGACCAAATACAACTAATGACCGAAAACTATAACTGCGCTAAATCATTGTCCAACGAATTTTTGACGAAATTTAACAAAAACAAATTAATGTTTTCTGAGGGGAAATTATAACGGTTACTTTCCAAGCATTTAAAGAGGCGACAGAAGCAGTATCGATCTACTAATAACAAATTCATGAAAATGTCGCTCTCTTAAAAGTAACGGTAATATTTCTAATTATGAATGCAAGTGCGCTAAATCTCTGTCCATAACTGTATATTGTTGTTTGCTATCAAACGCACTAATCAAACAATCTTCATCGTGCTAGCGAAAGATTGAACGTCTTAGGTAGTTGTTTAATTGTCCAGTTGCATTTCACTTTAGAGATGGTCTGAAAAGATTTCAAAAGTTAGTTTTGGACATTTGAGTTGCAATTTCTTTCATTTTGTAATCCCGAAAATCTTAATTAAAATAATTTTTAAATTTATGGTCCGAAATATGAAAAAGGTTGTGATAAATAAATTGTTGTAAAATTAACAGTTATTCAATGTGAATATAATTTTGTTACATACGCTTTCACGTCTAAATCACTTAACCGACCAACATAAGACTTTGTATACATATGTGTATGTGTACTTAAAAGTAGATATGTATGTCAAAGGACATCGGATACTTATGATTAAAATATATATTAATTTTTGACGATCTGTAAGAGCACTATACAATTAGCAATATAAAAATGAGTATTTCACAAAAATTTTACTAAATACTAAAATTAATCTTTTTTTTAGATACCACCTCCAAAGCCACCCCCTCCAGAAATGCACTTCATTCCTAATCCAAGTAACACTGAATTTGTGTATTTACTGGGCTTGGAAACAGTTGTGGATTATTTAACAACCAACAACAAAAAACAAAATCCGATGATACCGCCTTTCCTTTGCGCACAGTGCAAAATCGATTTCACGCCAGTTTGGAAATGGGATAAACAAGGTAGGCTGTAGTAAAAAATGTTAACCTTTTTTAATTTTTTGTTTTCTTATAGCAAACAAAGAAACAAAAGTAATTTGTGAGCAGTGTGTTACCACTAACGTTAAAAAGGCCTTGAAGGCAGAGCACACCAACAGACTAAAGCAAGCATTCGTTAAAGCTCTTCAACAGGTAAACTATCACTTAATAATATTTTGAAAAGAAAACTCAATATATTAATTTTTAAACATGCAGGAACAAGAAATTGAGCAACGAATAACAAGTCAAGGAAGCACATCGCCGATAGATTCGCATAGTTCTACGATATCAGCAACTCAACCATCATTTCAGCAACAACAACAACAACAGCAACAACTTCCACTAATACAGTTACATCAGCAACAACAAACTACCCCTAGCGCTCTAGCCAATTTGCCACCTTCCGTAACTGTCATTCCAACCAAATGTCATACACCTACACCAAGTGTAGCATCTCGACCGACACCGCCACCGTGTATCCAACAAACGCCAACCCCTCCTCCATCCAATACACCCCGTTCGTCACGTAATCAACAGATGACATCACAATCAAACTCAAATTCATCAAACCAAATGCAACAGCGTGAGCGAGAACAAGTTCAACAACAACAACAACAACAACAACAACAACAATATGATAAGTATACTAACGCAGCGCTGGCCGCTGCTGCTGCTCAATTGAGTGCTCTTGGCAGTTTGCCTGGTTTAAATAACCTTGCTGGGTTGGGTAATATTGGTCAATTAAGTAACTTCCCATCATTAGGAGGATTAGCGAACATCTCGACTTCAACAGCTAATCCTTCTACCAGTGGACTGGGTAATGCGTCACCAGCAGCCCAAGCCGCTGCATTTCAAGCGTTTCAGCAACAACTGCTCCGAGGTAAGTTGGCAGGCATTTTGAAAATCTACAAATTAAAATATTAATATCTTTTCTAATAATCTAGCTCTGGGTCAAGGATTAGCCGCCAATCCTCAGCACATGATGCAGTTTACACCACTGCTTTACTCGTATCAAATGGCAATGGCTCAGGCTCAAGTTGCAGGTACAACATTGCATATTAACTCATATTGTATTTGACAGCTAGCGCTAGCCGCTAGCAAACAAAATGTGCATTATTTATGTCATTAGCAGTAGTTGATTACACTATGAGCATATTTTAGCCATGAAATAGCTTCTCATGGAATCTATTAGGCATTTGCAAACCCCCTAGATGCGTCTTTGTGTTGAATAACAAGAAGAAATAATAAATATAAGTTATGCACTAACCTATAACAAATTGGTTAACTTTTGAATTATATTATATAATTTATATATTTATAATTTATATTAATTTATATCGCAAGCTATCTTGAGGAATTTCTTGATGAATAGTTTAAGTATCATTATAATATATCATATGTATGTATATCATTGCCTGCTGTTAACAGTTAAGACGATTTACTTTCGGCTTTGCTTAATCTTAGTATTCAAACTTCAATATATTAATAAATTGGTTGTATAAGTCACGTAATTGGCAATAATTTTTATTTTTAGCTTATACCAACAAGAAGAATTCTTCTTCCACGTCGTCAAAGAATCAATCATCTAATTTGGCAGATATACAACGTGCTGCTGAGCTTCAGAGGCAATACTTAATGGAAATGATACCACAACCACAGGCCCCGGGATCAAGTAACAATCGTCAAAATAATTGGAAAACTTAAACTATTATTACATAATACTGGTTTTGTCTATCATGATAACACATTTTATAATGTTATTATGAAAAGGGAATTTAAAATGAAGCTGACTGTAATCATCGTTAATTCGTCGAGTATACGTTCACGAACTACTGACACGCGTGAATTTATAAATCATCGAATAAGAGTTTACTTAATATTTAGTTTTTTTGTATTGTATATGCCCACATATTTTAGTTGAAAGTATGTAGTTTCTTCTAGGACTATATAATGATTTGATTTTGTAATGTTAAATAGTTATTGATTTAATTAATATTTATTAAAAGAATTGGAAGTATATTAGCAAATACAAAATTTGATGATAACAATGAAATTTAAATAAAAGTTCGAAAGAAGCTCAATACATAACTACTAAAATAAATATTGTATTTAATATTCCAGCTTATAAATAAATAATGTTCTCTTAAAAACGTACATTCAATAACTTTAAAAATACAATTGGTAAGTTGTTGTGCAGAGTATAATTTCGTTCACCTAACGCTTCGTTTCAGCGCCTAAGAACCCTATTATATAAGGCTACGAGGAAATAACTATCGGCATACTTGTGCTATATACTAATAACAAGATATGTTTTAGCGAATGGAGATTTGCGGCAATACACTTGAAATCGCAGCACCCTTAATTAAAAATTTTCAGAAAAAGTGTTTAGTATATGTTTGTCCTTCTGGAGTGCATAAAGTGCATTCGGCGATTTTTACGATGAGTGAAATTATTCAACAAAGATGTTCCATTAAATTTTGTGTGCGGAATCAATTTTCTGGTACCGAAACGTTCAGAATGTTGGAAAAGGTCTTCGGTGATAGTTATTTGTCGCGAGAAAGTGTTATTGATTGGTACAAATTATTTAATGAGGGTCGAGAACGTGTTGACGAACGACGTCTAGGATGGTCATCAACATCAACTGATGATTAATACGTCAATAAAATAGAGGAATTAGTATGCTTGAGAATCGACAAATTAAAGAGTCAGACATCTTACTGGCATCTATGGAATATCGGAAAGATTAGTAAAACCATTTTGAAAAATCATTTGGTGAATCTACGATTGGTTCCAAAATCATTGAGTTTTCGACTACCAGTATGTCAGGAAATCTGTTATTAGTTGGATCTATGCTTACGACCCGGAAATACAGTGGTGGCCTTATAATTAGAAACGATATGCTAGATAAAATCAGATCACTGTATATGTACTTTTTTAAGACGCGCACTGTTAATTATATGTCCCGTTATTCGTAGTGTGATTATGAACGTAATTGTTATTTGCTAATTGGTTATTGCAAAAATTAAAATTATTTCACGGTTTGTGTTTCTTGGCTGGCAACGTAATTAGAAACGGGCAGTTCTTTCTTTTGATTCTCGGGTTTTTTGAACTTAGCGATAAAGTGAGTATACTTCAATTAAACAACGTTCAATTAAAAACGTTTTAATTATTAGAATGGTTAGAGAAAAGCTGCATTTCGGATAAAAATATTGATGTTTTGGATTGGCCTCCACAATGTTCAGATCTGAACCCAATAGAAAATTTACAGGCAATTGTGAAACGAGATCTTAAGGACAAAAAACCGCGAAATAATGACGAGTTGTTTCAAATGGCTCAAAAAAGTTTGAATAGCATCTCAGTGCAAACATGCCAACAATTAATCCAAGGTTTACCGCGAAGGCTGGACAATGTTGTTAAAAATTTAACAAAATACTAAACAGTTTTATCAATTTTATATACATAAGTACTAGAGAGCCGTCCACGTTTCACTGTGGCTGATACATAGGAAATATTACTACCATCTATGTGACTTCTAATGGTTGGATTATAAATAAATATAAGTTAATGATATGTAGTATTTTTTGTAAAGCAACTTGTGTTAGTTAACAAAAAAATTATCATAAAGCATTTCGTGTTGAATTTGGGCTCAGGTAAATCCACCGTTGAAAATATATTTGCTAAGCTGGAAACAGGCGAAATAAATACCGAAGACAATGACGCCCTAAATAGGCAAAAGCTTTGTGCAAAGTGGGTGCCACGTAAGTTCATAATCCAACAAAAACAACGAATAACTGCTCTCTAGTCGGAATAAGGCCGAATTTTTTCGTCGGTGATAGAAACATAGCTCCAGCATTTCCCACTGGAGTCCAATCGAAAGTCATTCTATTATTTTTGAGGAAGAATCTGTTTAAAATTGTACGCATATGTATATTCAAATGACTCTTACAAATATGAATTTTTGTATGTTTTAATGAGTTGTATTAAATTTTGACATACAGAGATAAAAAGTATCCTTTGTCCCTACCCAGGTTCTAAGCTACCTCCCTACCAATATTCAGCCAAATCGATTCAGCCGTTCTTGAGTTATAAATGGTGTAACTAACACGATTTTTTTTTTTGTTTCGAAGAAATGAAAAATTCATATGATTCCTCTTCTTCTTCTGAATTGGTGTAGACACCGCTTACGCGATTATAGCCGAGTTAACAACAGCGCGCCAGTCGTTTCTTCTTTTCGCTACGTGGCGCCAATTGGATATTCCAAGCGTAGCCAAGTCCTTCTCATAAATCTTTCGCAGAACTTTTCTCTCGAAAACTCGCAACGTCGACTCATCGTTGTTGTCATCGTCCAAGCTTCTGCACCATATAGCAGGATGGGTATTATGAGTGACTTATAGAGTTTGGTTTTTGTTTATCGAGAGAGGACTTTGCTTCTCAATTGCCTACTCAGTCCGAAGTAGCACCTATCGGCAAGAATTATCCTGCGTTGGATTTCTAGGCTGACATTGTTGGTGGTGTTTACGCTGGTTCCAAGATAGACGAAATTATCTTCAAAGCTATGACTATCAACAGTGACGTGAGTGCCAAGTTTCGAGTGCGACGACTGTTTGTTTGATGACAGGAGATATTTCGTCTTGCCCTCGTTTACTGCCAGACCCATTTGCTTTGCTTCCTTGTCGAGTCTGGAGAAAGCAGAACTAACGGCGCGGGTGTTGAGGCCGATGATATCAGAATCATCGGCATACGCCAGCAGCTGTACACTCTTATAGAAAATTGTACCTTCTCTATTTAGTTCTGCAGGCCGAATTATTTTCTCCAGAAGCAGGTTGAAAAAGTCGCACGATAAGGAATCGCCTTGTCTGACACCTCGTTTGGTATCGAACCGCTTGGAGAGATCCTTCCCGATTCTGACGGAGCTTTTAGTGTCGCTCAACATCAGTTTACACAGCCGTATTGGCTTTGCGGGGACACCAAATTCAGACACATAAAGGCAGCTCCTTTTCGTGCTGTCGAAAGAATGCTCTGAAATCAACGAAGAGGTGGTGAGTGTCGATTCTCTTTTCACGGATCTTTCCAAAGATTTGGCGCATGGTGAATATCTGGTCGGTTGTTGATTTTCCAGGTCTGAAGCCACACTGATAAGGTCCAATCATTTTGTTGACGGTGGGCTTTAACGCCCACGATAGTTGGCGCAGATTGTGGGGTCTCCTTTCTTGAGGATTGGGCATAGCACACTTAAATTCCAATCGTTGGGTATGCTTTCGTCCGACCATATTTTACAAAAAAGTTGATGCATGCTTCTTATCAGTTCTTCGCCACCGTGTTCGAATAGCTCGGCCGGCAATCCATCGGCCCCCGCCGCTTTGTTGTTCTTCAGGCGGGTAATTATTATTCAAACTTCTTCCTGGTCGGGCATGGGAATCGGGTTCGTCTTCTCCTGGCGTTGCGCGTTCAATGCCATTCAGCAGGTTGGAGGAGTGTTCCCTCCACAATTTAAGTATTCCTGGGCATCGGTGACTAGATCACCTTTGGGGGTTCTACAAGAGTATGCTCCGGTCTTGAAACCTTCTGTTAGCCGCCGCGAAGTAGGTCCTAAAGCAATATTTTTTATTTGCAAAAGTTAGCGAATTTGAATGAAAACATCACACTATAGATTTCCAGTAAAATAAAATTTCCATGTCATTGAGGTGTTAACTTATTTATGCTACTAGGGCGTTCCGAAAAATTTACGCTTGCTCCGAAATAAGCTTAAAAGCAATTTTCCTGTTGGCTAAATTGGGTATCAGCCAAAATTGAATTAAAAAAAATTAAATATAAAGGAAAGGAACAACTTTGTCTGATCAAAAAGACTGTACAAACTGCTTGTCCCACGCGCACAATCTTACTAATTGCGAAAGCAAATTCAACTGCGTATATCGTCATAAAAGACTCATTCCATGTTACATTACAATATGTCTTCCAATACACTTCAAAGGAACGCATTAAAAACTCAAACGCTACACRGCGAGAATCAAAGTAAGGTATTACTACCAACAGCAGTTGTCTCCATTAAACACAGAGGAGAACTGCTTAAACTTAGAGCCTTAATATACCAAGGATCACAACGATCCTTAATAGCGTCTAAGGCACAAAATAAATTTAAATTGCTAACAAGGTAAGCAAAATTTGAAATTTCGGGAATGAGCGGAAGAGTATTACAAAACTCTAACAAAATATGCTACATTACCATAGTTTCCCCCCAAGCGGATAAGCGCATTCAAGCAAATACTATTGTCTTACCGCAACTAACAAACATGCTTCCAAGCTATCAAATAAATAGCAAGCATTGTGATAAGATTTCACATCTGACTCTAGCAGATCCCAATTGCAACACGGCAGCTCAAATAGACATCCTAAAACGCAGCGACCTTATACCGCAAATTTTACTAGAAGGTGTTGAAAAAACAGCTTTCTAGCTCAAAACACTATCTTCGACTGGATACTGAGTGGACTAGTAACCATGACAACTGAAGCTGAAGAAATATCCAACGAATACCTTAATTCACAATTAAGGAAGTTTTGGGAGTTACAAGAGCTCCCCTCATTTCGATTACAACACCAGAAGATCAGTATTGGGAAGACTTTTATAAAGCCACAATTACTAGATCAGCTAATGGTCGGTATGTCGTACGACTACCACTAAAACAACAATTTCCAGACACACTCGCATTAGGTCACTCTCGCACCTCTGCAATACAACAGTTTCTAAAAAAATCTACTTAGAAAAGGTGAGCTGAAACAAGATTATGATGGCGTTAGAAGAATACCTTCATTTAGATCACATGGGGGCAGTAAGCCCATGTGAAAAAATCATAAAAGGCAAACATTACTCATTCTACTTGCCACATCATGCAGTAGTGAAACCTGACAAAAAAAAAAAAACAACAAAAGTCAGAGTTGTCTTCAATGCCTCAAGAACCACTAGCTCGGGGAATTCTCTAAATGATATTCTATTTACGGGACCCACACTCCAACCAGATTTAATGCTCCTCATATTAAATTGACGTTCAATGGGGATGTCGAAAAAATGTATCGACAAACAGTCGTACATAAAGCGATCA